CTGGAGACGATCGCATCCATATTGAATGTGCTCCTCAACCTCTCTCAGAGTGACCGAGATGGGCGCCTTGTGTTCATCCTTCTCTCACCCCGTATGACGGTGATGTGGTTGACGTCTCTTCGAACTTTCGATTAGTTCCAACCCCCCGCTCCACCTTGCCCGTTGGGACTGTGTGAGTTGCATGCGTGGGTGCGAGTTGGATACTAGTGTCCTCCCTATCGTCCATCTCTTGTTTCCCAGGTCAAACATCCCGCCAACAGTTTGGAAAGCGTCTTCTACCTTACCCACGTTCCCCAATCAAACTCAACCAACCTCTCTTGATCCTTACTCCTCTTCCTTTCCTCTCACCACCACTACCACAGACTCGCAAGAGCTCTTTCATCCTTTCTTAAAGCCAAGCAACCCCCCAAGCAACACGCCGCCACCATGTCCACCCCTAGGGAATTCGACGTCGTCCTTTATGGTAAGCCACTACCCTCCCCCCTTCCCCAACCCTCCACGCACGCTCTATGCGTTCGTCTTCCCTACGATGAACCGGACTGGATGATGAGCCTGGCGCTATTGCTTCCTCCTTCGGGACGGCTTTCAAACTCACGGCTTTATCTCGACAAACCTGACTTCTCCCCTCATCAGGAGCCACCGGATTCACCGGCAAGATATGCGCAAAGTACCTCTCCAAGCACCCCCAGAACCCAAAGTGGGCCCTGGCTGGACGTAACTCTGAGAGATTGAAGGACCTTCGATCCAAGCTCGACTTGGGTGACCATGTCGGCACCATCCAGGCCAACTCGTTCGATCCGGACAGCTTGGACGCCATGGCCAAGAGGGTGAAGGTGGTGATCAACATCGTTGGACCTTACAGGAAGAACAATGCCGAGGCCGTCGTCAAGGCCTGTGTACAGAACGGCACTTCGTACGTGGACCTGAGTGGCGAGGTGAGACTTGTGACGTTTTCCAAAGCTCTTTCACCCCTCCCCAAGCTACCTCTCGCCAACTGTGAGACTTTTCGGGGGTTTCCAGCTGTAGAGAGGGTCGGACTGATCCCTTCTTCTTCCGGCCATTTTTGCTTCAACCAAAATAAAATTCTTGGGAAAAACTGATTCAACGCCTGGACAGACCGCCTTCAATGCAACTCTGATCGAAAAGTGAGCATCAGCCCCGGACTTCTTTCGAGAAACACTTTTCCTGATCAAACTCATCCTCCCCCACCTCCCTACGCTGGAAAATCAGGTACCACCTCGCCGCTCAGGCGAAGCAAAGCATCATCGCACCATCCGTAGGATTCGACTGTGAGCTCCGGTGGCCGATCATCGATGCCATTTCGGGAGGGTTGTGCGTAGAGAATCTAATCCAACTCAACTTATCTTTCACCCTCGATCCTCCACCTCCTCTACACAGCCTTGCCATTCGATGTGACCACGTTCCTAGCTGCTCAGCACGCCAAGCAATCCGCTGGACCAGGTTCCGAAATCGAGAGCGTCTCGGTCGCAGTGGTTGCCAAAGGAGGGGTGAGACTCCTGGTAGCAGGGTTTTTTTTTTTTGAGCACCAGATGGAACTGACAACGAAGCTGTACGACTTACCCCGATACTTTACCTACTCTAGATTTCCAGCGGTACTATCAGCAGTGCCATCGATATGCACCTGGATAAAAGCCAGCTCAGTCCCGGCAAGCCTGATTGGCTCAGCCCTGGTAAGTTGGTCTCATCTTCAAGCAGATGGAGGAAACGAAGGAGGAAAACTTTTCACTTTGGGTGTCATCTAACCTTCAACGATCTCGACCACGTCTTCCCTTTTCCATTTTTTTTTTCTATCCAGTCTCCGGACGCCACACGTCTGACTGGTATGGATCCAAGTACTTCCCTCAATTCAAAAAGTACGGAGCCTTCTCGCCCTTCACGCCCCACAATCACCGGATCGTCAACCGGACCTGGGGTCTGCTCGAACAGCACGAGTCCAAGTTGAGGTATGGCAAACACTTCCAATACGACGACGGGATCATCATGCCTTTCAGGCCGCTGGCGCTACTCGTCTCCCTCTTCACAAGGATTTTCGGCTGGCTCATCGCCAACGTCGCCTTGGTGAGTTCTCCCCTCCTCCTTGCCGACGTTCGATTCGATCCAACTGCCAGCCCTGATCTCACCATCTGCTACTCTTTGGCTTCTCGCGTGCGCTATTGCGTTTCTCTGACTGTGGATTTCAACTCGATCGTCCTTCCCCCCATGAAGGTGCGCTGGCTACTCACCAAAACCTTGCCCGAAAACGGAGGACCTCCCGAGAAGTGAGTTTGAATCCTTTTTTCCCTCGAAATTCTATCTTTTTTCTCACTCGGAAATGTTCGTCAAAGCTAAGATTCTTTTGTCTCAACCCGCTTTGGTTGACCATCCAAAAAAAAAGCGTACTGATCAACGGAAAGATCGACGCCAGAGCCCTTGCCAAGACCAGTGGACCCGAGTCGAAGAGGTCGATCTGTACCATGAGGGCCAAGGGGGACCCTGGCTACCAGCTCACCGCCAGGATGATCGTCGAGACCGCCCTCACTATCTGCCTCGAGTCCCACAGGCTCCCAGAGATCGCCACCAAGGGCGGAGTCCTCACCCCTGCCCTCGTCGGTGCCGACCTCATCTCGGAGAGGTTGACGCGCTTCGCAGACTTCACCATCGAATGCACCGAATTCGAGGACCCGAAGTCTAAGTGAGGGGGAGAATGAAGAAGGATACATGTGCAAATGATGATTTATAAAAAAGAGAAAAAAAAACCTGGGGTGGAGGGTCAAGGGTCTGTCGTTCCTCCCGCCAAGCCAAGTTAGCATTCCTCGGTTCCGATCCTGCCCGGATTAAGATGGATAGCTTCACCTTTCTTTTTCCTTTCTGCCATATTTGGTTCATATGTCGAGTCTGAGCGAGGGGAGGGGAGTCTACCTGTGCAGATAAACATAAAAAGTGTAGGATGCAAAGGAGACAAGAGAAAAAAGAAAGTTCCCTGCCGGGGAATTGAACCCCGATCTGAGCAGATCACGACCAAGTCATGCTTGAGAGTGCCCTATACTAGCCATTGTACTAACAAGGACTGGATGATGGATGGCGTTTCTATTGAACATATGAAACAATACAAATGTTAGGATCAGGGGAAGAAAAATAGTGATGTGTTGGAAAAAAAAGGGTAGTGGTACCATCCGGATTCGAACCGAAGATGAACAAGGGAACACTGAAGTGTAAGCTTTTGTGAGCTTGAATCTTGCGCCTTAGACCACTCGGCCATGGTACCTCGAGTGATCGAGATACACAAATAGCCCTATATGAAGCACCACACACATTGGTTCTTGTTTAAAAACAAACTCGGAGTTAAGGATCGATGCTGTGGAAGGAAGAAAATGGGTGGAGAAACACGGAGAAAGATTCCGAGCCCAGATTCTCATTTTTTGTTTAACCGGATTTTACAACAAACCCAAGGAGATGATGACATCCATGGTCAAGTCAGATGCACGAAGCGTGTGGGTTGGAGAGAAGGTATAAAACAGTGATTCTGGCTCTCGAAGGGTCGGGGTGAGAGAGCAAGTCTATCTTCCCCCCTTGCCACCAACCCTTGTCCATAAGTCAGACCAACTTTTCTCAACCCACCTTCCGTTCCAACACAACATTGTGTACAACTCGCCAAAGAAAGAGAGGAAGGGATGACCACGCCAATCCTACTACCGCTCCAGATCTCGATCACATCGGACACGATCTGCCCCTTCTGCTTCATAGGGCTGAGGAAGTTGGAGAGGGCTCTGAAGAGTTCAGATTCGATTCGACTAGCCTCTTTCTCCCACCTTTCGGGCCCTCCCACAGGGAAGGGAGAAGGAGGTGGTGTCAAGTTGGTACCAAGGGTCAGATTCCTGCCTTTCCAGTTGGACCCCACGCTTCCCAAGGATCATGCCGTCTCGAAGAGGGAGACGTACAAGAAAAAGTTTGGCGAGGGTAGGGTCGAGATGATGGAGAGGATGATGATCGAAAGGGGGAGGGAGGTCGGCATCGAATTGTGAGTTATGCTGTTCTTCGTGAAGGGTCAAAGCAAGAGAGGAAAGGAATGATTTGAAGAACGGAAGAAAGGTTTCTCACTCCCAAAACATCTCCTACCCATTCCCTCCCACTCTCATCCCTTAGTTCATACGGAGGACCCATCAGATCGACGCTGAAGTCGCACCGCCTAATCGAAAAATCCTTTCAAAAGGGAGGAAGCGAGGCGCAACTGAAGGTGATCAATTCTCTCTTCCGAGCCTACTTTGAAAAGGAGGCCGACCCAGGTTCCGACGACCTGCTCTCCCGCGTAGCAGAGGAGGAGGGCATCTTTGAGACCCACGAGCAGGCTATCGCCTTCCTGGAATCCAGGGAGTGCCTCCAGGAGGTGGAGAAGGGCTTCATGATCTCAAGACTCAAGGGGATCTCGGGAGTGCCCCATTTCGAACTCGAGGTCCTCAAGCCGATCAAGGATGACTCTCCCTCTAACGCCAACAACCACGGTTGGTTCCAAGCCGTCAAAGATCCGGACCACGAGGATCGTCTACTGGCTAGGGCTGAGGTGGGAGGGGCTCAGGAGACCGAGACCTTCCTCGACGTCTTCGAAAAGCTTTTGCAGAGGGCCGTCCAAAACCTCGGTGGCCAACAAGGCCTATCAAAGTTGCAGCAGCAGCAGCCTCAAGAGTCGGGTCAAGATTCACTTGCTGAGCAAGCGCCATCTTGCGATCTTCAAGGAAAGGGGCTTTGCTGAAAAGGTTGCTCCTCCATTTGTGCATTTTCACGGGGGACCGAGGGAAGGGGTAGGGAAGGTGGAGTGGACTTGGATCGGAAAAGGACATGACGAAGGACCGGTCTATGTATTTCTCTGAAGGATGTGATGGACCTCTCTCCTTTCATGCCACCACACATCACACTCCTAGCCAATCCATGCGGATGTCACATAAATGTACACATGTACGGTACGGTGTGTTGCTCCAATTGATGTTTTCAAAAGGACCATGCGGATTGGAAAAGAAGAAGAGAAGAGTTTACACGCAATGTCATTGTTAAGAGCTACCGGTTCGGGGAGCTTCACATCGAGATGCAACTCTTTGATGCCTCTTGTAGAAATCAGGATGAGATACCTCTAAGACCTTCCTCCATTTCCCCTAGGTATGGTTATGGACGAGAACGGATGAGTAGGTAGGAGAAAAGATGAAAGTGAAACAAACCAAAAATGAAACATATTCAAGCCCCGCTTCTCGCAGCCACGCCTGGATTGTTGCTTTTATCACCGATGACTTGACTAAAGTTGTCGCTCAGACTTCTGAGGGCTCTGTCCACTTCGAAGCTCTCCTCCCCGACGTCGATTTCGCCGTCTTCGCCTTCCAATCCAGGCACCGAGCCCAACTTCGAGAAAGGTGACGATCTCGAAGAGGAGAGATTCCTGGCCCGGTACGCACTCAGAGGCGACGAGGATGGAAACCTCCTCTCAAAGTTCGGTGAGCTGGAGGACGAGAAGGGAGACGATGACGATCTCCGGAAAGGTGAGCTTGTGATTGGTGTTTTGAGGGGGGAAGGTGTCCTCTTCAGGGGCGAGTACACAGAATAGTCGTGTGAAGGTGCCGAGTTCTGATACTGTGTTGCTTTCGTCTGAGAGGTTGATGGGGACGAAGGTTCTGGTAAAGAGGTAGAGGGTCGAGTCTTTTGACCGTATCACGTGCCGCGAGAGAGAAAGGGAGTGATGCCGAGGTTTAGTTGTCATCTACCATTGATGCTCATGGTCCCACTTTTAACTCTCCTTCGGCATCTGGTCACTAAAAAAAGGAGTGGAATGGGGGATGGCCAAGACAGATGCTGAGAAAACTCACCTTCGGGCTGCCTCTAGAGCCATAGATCTGCGCAAAGCCAACACTCCTAGCCGTCACCGGTGAAGCGAGAGCAGTCGATAAAGAGCGTCCTGCACCCGCTTGCAGCTGGGCGATGGTCAATCTTTCGCCATCCGTTGACGTAAGGCTCCTCCGGTAGAGGACGAGGGCTTCTATGAAGTTGAAGAGGAGCGTCACCGAGAGAGCCCAAGCTGTTTTTTTTTTTTTTTTTTTTCTCCCCCCCCCCCCCCCCCCCTCTCTCTCCCTCCGCTTTCCCGTACTGTATGTACAAGGTATGCTCATGTCAGGCAAGCGCGAATGTATGTAAACTAGGA